AGAGTCCTCCACCTCCTCTGTCAGCTCCCTGACAGGGCCACACGCCCCTTCCCGGCACCTGCCCCTGAGGTGCACAGGTCTCCTGCTCGGCGAGGCCATCGGGGGGGAGGCCGTGAGGGCTCAGCCTGTCGCCCACCGTTCCCACATCGGCAAGTCTGCTCCATGAGTGTCCTTGTCCCCCTGCCAGCCTAGAACCTAGGGCTCCCGGCTGGGTTTGAGCTCTGCCCCTGACGCTGCATCTGCACAGAAGGCCCCCGGGGGTGGGTGAGAGATCACAGAACTGGAGCCAATCACAGGTCCTGCGACCCAGAGGACCACATTCACACGGACTCCGCCTCCCGTGAACATGTCTCTCCCGCTGCGGGAGGCCGATGTTCCGAGTGCATCCCGGGTGTGGCCAGGGCTGTCAGATGGAGGGAAGCCACAAGTCGGATGTCCCATCCCCAGAAAGCCCCTGGGGACAGTGTTCATTATTCCCCAAAACGTCCCGGCCTGAATCTAACAGGTCCTGTTCACGGGCGCAGAGGCTGCCTGTCCGTCCAGGGCAGCTCCATCTGGGGCCGACCAGCCTGTGCTGGTGAGAACTGAGATGGACGATGGACACACGGGGGCTTGACAATCACCCCACCCCTTTAGAAGGACAACTGGTCAGTGTCTCAGTGACAGAGGGCATTATCCTGTGCCCCTTGGGGTTCAGAGTACACTGCGTCACCTAGAGTGCGGGGGGCATGGCTGACCAGGGAGAGAAGGGACCTCCAGGTCAGGAGCTGGGGACTCACCTGGCCAGGCTGTGGAATGCGGGACAGCAGCTGTGAGGAAGGAAAGTATAGTCAGTCACAAAGCACCCGGCTTCCAGAGCCAGGTCCCAGGTGGAGGACCCTCGGCTGACACACGGTCTCCGGTGGACACGGCCGGTCATGCCTGAACCTCACAGGTCCCTCACAACCAACACCCCTGTCCCTGGCCAGCGCCAGCTCGCAGAGTCTGAGGTATCATTCCTGTGTAGGAAGCCAGTGTCATGCCTGGGAGTGGCCACCACAGCTGGGTGATGGGTCCAGACAATGGGCACCCCCACGGGGCTGATGACCACACCAGTGTTTCTCCCTCAGGGGCTAGGATGTCACATGTATCCCAATGTCTAATGTTCCCCATGTGCTCATGGTGCCCCGTCCGACTCCTCCTGGCTCCTCCCATTCACGGGGCCCGGACCCCTACCCCACCCTCTCCCCCCACACTTTCTGTACTTGGTCCATGACTAGCTCTGGGTCTGGTTCGGGGGCAGCATCTGGGAGAGCCAGGTAACGCCATCGTCCAGATTGGAGGTCTCACAACCGCACCCCCCCACCCAGGAGGCTGCCTGCAGGGACGCCCAGAACGCCCTCCCTTGGCGGAGCTGAGGTCACACTGGGCACAGGTCAGGCTCCTGCTCTGTCCTCGGGAGCCGGCTCCTGAGTGGGAATCAGGGCCACAGGCACGGTCAGCCCAGGGCAGGCGACACCTTCAGGCTGCCGGGGATCACGCACGAAGCAGGAGGCTGTTTCAGCCTGAGTCCCTGCCACTGGCTTTGGGGCCCTCGCGTCCCCGCAGTCCCTCCACGGCCTTCAGTGCATTCAGGTCAGACAGGGGCGTTCAGGGCGCTGTGTGGGTTCTCAGCACCACCACCCACTAGAGGAGCCACCCAGGCCGGCCCACCTGACAGATGACGCCGGCGTCCTCGCCGTGGCCACAGTTGTGCACGTTCCAGCCGTTGTGCGGGCAGTGCCACAGGAAGGACTCGTGGCCTGAGCAGCCACGTCGTCCAGGAGAATCGGCCCTGAGCCCTGGCCGAAGCGGGCGCTTCCTGGAGCCGCCCTGGCCCAGCCCACAGCCCAGCTGCCTGCATACCACGTTGGCGTCGTTGGTGTCCCAGCTGTCGTCACACACGGTGCCCCAGGAGCCTCGGTACAGGACTTCCACCCGGCCCTGACACCGGTCCCCTCCGTTCACCAGCCGCAGGTCCAACCTCGATTCGGTGGTGAACCCTGGAGGACGGCAGGACACAGGCAGGTTCTAGACTCAAGACCTTTCTCTTGGCCGAACCCAGGGCAGGCGGTCAGCTGTGAACAGGAGGATGGAGACTAACATTTACCTGTTGTTCTGTGATGTGAGGGGGTCGAAGTCAGCCACGAGCCTGGAGGAGACACGTCAAGGCCTTGCTTAGGCGTCACCTGAGAGTCCTCCACCTCCTCTGTCAGCCTCCCTGACAGGGCCACACGCCCCTCCCGGCACCTGCCCCTGAGGTGCACAGGTCTCCTGCTCGGCGAGGCCATCGGGGGGGAGGCCGTGAGCGCTCAGCCTGTCGCCCACCGTTCCCACTCGGCAGGTCTGCTCCAGCAGAGACCTTGACCCCCCTGCCGCCAGGAGCCTGTGCTGACTGGACTTTGAGCTCTGTCCCTGACTCTGCATCTGGACAAAAGGCCCCTGGGGGGTTGTGATTAACTTGATCAATTCCAGGACCCGGTTCCCAAGGAGCAGTATCACGGGAGACTAGCAACCTCCAAGTAAGGGAGCTGAGGACTCACCTGGCCAGGATGTGGGATATGTCACCGCAGCTGTGAGGGAGGAAAACACAGTCAGTCACAAAGCACCCGACTTCCAAAACGAGGTCCCAGGTGGAGGATCTCCGCAGACACACAGTTCCCGGGATGTCACGGCCCATCATGCCCGAACCTCAGAGCCCCTCACACCACCACCCCTGCCCCTGGACACGGCCAACCTCGCTGAGTCCGAGGACGCATTCCTGGTGTAAGAAGCCTTGTGCGGCCTGGGACCGGCCCCACAGCTGGGTGATGAGTGCAGAGAATGAGCAGAGCATGGACCTCCCCACGACGGCTGAAGGTCACACCAGTGTTTCTCCCTCAGGGGCTAGGATGTTAGACTTTATCCCAATTTCTAGACGTCCCCGTGTCCTCATGATGCCCCATATGACACCTTCCTGGCCCCTTCCATTCACTGGGTCCTGCCTCCTCTCCCCATTCTCTCCACACGCCCAAGAGGCTGATCATCATCCCAGACAGAGGCGCAGAGACGTCCTGTCCTGCCTGCTGCAAGGGTCTCCAGGGAGGGGAAGCCCCCAGAGTGCCGGTGGAGGGGAGCGGAGACACCCGCATCCTCACGGGGACACCAGGGTGCAGCTCCATGGCTCCAGGGTCAGGCCAAGACCCTCCCTTTTGGCAAAGTATCGGCCTCTGCGTGGTCCTGGCCGACCTCAGGCACAGTCTCAGAGGTGACAAGCCTCGCCTGAAGCAGGGAACAGGCACTATCACCCTCTTCCAGGGACAGCACCTCGAGCTCCAGGATCCCCCGGCTCAATGGGGGAAATGCGACCTGAGCAAATGTCTCCTGTGGGCTTTCAGCTTTGTCCCTGACTCTGATCATGGACAGAAGGACTCCGGGGGGTTGTGATTAAGCTGCTCGGGCACCACTGGACCCAGGTCACCAGCCTTCCAGTCCCCCTGACACCTGGTCGCAGGACCCTGGTCTGCCACAGCCCACAGGGACACGGAGTTGAGGCATATTTGGGAACTCCTCATGGGGGTCCTCCAGGCTTGAAGACAGACAGAGGACCCAGGAGGACGGAGACTGACATTTACCTGTTGTACTGGACGAGCAGTGTGTTGAAGTCAGCCATGAGCCTGGAGGGACACGTCAAGGCCTTGCTTAGGCGTCACCTGGGAGTCCTCCACCTCCTCTGTCAGCCTCCCAGACAGGGCCACACGCCCCTCCCGGCACCTGCCCCTGAGGTGCACAGGTCTCCTGCTCGGCGAGGCCATCGGGGGGAGGCCGTGAGGGCTCAGCCTGTCGCCCACCGTTCCCACTCGGCAGGTCTGCTCCAGCAGAGACCTTGACCCCTGCCTCCCTAGAACCTAGGGCTCCCGGCTGGGTTTGAGCTCTGCCCCTGACACTGCATCTGCACAGAAGGCCTCTGGAGGTCGTGATTAAACTACCCGGGCACCACAGGACCCAGGTCACCAGCCAACCACGTCCCCCTGACACCTGATCTCAGGACCCTGGTCTTCACACTGCCCACAGGTCACAGACATGGAGGCGTAACTGGGGACTCGCCTTGTGGGTCCCTCCCGACCGGATTCAGAAGCAGACAGAGAGCCCGGGAGGATGGAGACTGACATTTACCTGTTGTTGTGGGACGAGCAGTGGTGGTCGAAGTCAGCCACGAGCCTGGAGGAGACACGTCAAGGCCTTGCTTAGGCGTCACCTGAGGAGTCCTCGACCTCCTCTGTCAGCCTCCCTGACAGGGCCACACTCCCCTCCCGGCACCTGCCCCTGAGGTGCACAGGTCTCCTGCTCGGCGAGGCCATCGGGGGGAGGCCGTGAGGGCTCAGCCTGTCGCCCACCGTTCCCACTCGGCAGGTCTGCTCCAGCAGAGACCTTGACCACCTGCCACCAGGAGCCCTGTGCTGACTGGGCTTTGAGCTCTGTCCCTGACGCTACATCTGGACAGAAGGCCCCCGGGGGGTTGTGATTAACTTGATCAATTCCAGGTCCTGGTTCCCAAGAAGCAGTATCACGGGAGACTAGCAACCTCCAGGTAAGGGAGCTGAGGACTCACCTGGCCAGGATGTGGAATGCGTCACAGCAGCTGTGAGGGAGGAAAACCCAGTCAGTCACAAAGCACCCAACCTCCAAAACCAGGTCCCAGGTAGAGGATCTCCGCAGACACACAGTCCCCGGATGACACGGCCCATCATGCCCGAACCTCAGAGCCCCTCACACCACCACCCCTGCCCCTGGACACGGCCAGCCTCGCTGAGTCCGAGGACTCATTCCTGGTGTAAGAAGCCATGTCCGGCCTGGGACCGGCCCCCACAGCTGGGTGATGGGTCCAGAGAATGAGCAGAGCATGGACCTCCCCACGGGGCTGAAGGTCACACCAGTGTTTCTCCCTCAGGGCTAGGATGTTATTCTTTATCCCAATTTCTAGACGTCCCCGTGTCCTCATGATGCCCCATCTGACACCTTCCTGGCCCCTTCCATTCACTGGGTCCTGCCTCCTCTCCCCATTCTCTCCACACGCCCAAGAGGCTGATCATCATCCCAGAGAGAGGCGCAGAGACGTCCTGTCCTGCCTGCTGCAAGGATCTCCAGGGAGGGGAAGCCCCCAGAGTGCCGGTGGAGGGGAGCGGAGACACCCGCCTCCTCACGGGGACACCCAGGGTGCAGCTCCATGGCTCCAGGGTCAGGCCAAGACCCTCCCTTTTGGCAAAGTATCGGCCTCTGCGTGGTCCTGGCCGACCTCAGCCACCGTCTCAGAGGTGACAAGGCCTCGCCTGAAGCAGGGAACAGGCACGATCACCCCTCTTCCAGGGACAGCACCTCGAGCTCCAGGATCCCCCGGCTCAATGGGGGAGGATGCGGACCTGGAGCAAATGTCTCCTGGTGGGCTTTGAGCTTTGTCCCTGACTCTGATTCTGGACAGAAGGACTCCGGGGGGTTGTGATTAAGCTGCTTGGGCACCACTGGACCCAGGTCACCAGCCTTCCATGTCCCCCTGACACCTGGTCTCAGGACCCTGGTCTGCCCACAGCCCACAGGGACACGGAGATGCAGGCACATTCGGGAACTCCTCATGGGGGTCCCTCCAGGCTTGAAGCAGACAGAGGACCCAGGGGGATGTAGGATGACATTTACCTGTTGTTCTGGGACGTGAGGTGGTCGAAGTCAGCCACGAGCCTGGAGGAGACACGTCAAGGCCTTGCTTAGGCGTCACCTGAGGAGTCCTCCACCTCCTCTGTCAGCCTCCCTGACAGGGCCACACGCCCCTCCCGGCACCTGCCCCTGAGGTGCACAGGTCTCCTGCTCGGCGAGGCCATCGGGGGGGAGGCCGTCGGGCTCAGCCTGTCGCCCACCGTTCCCACTCGGCAGGTCTGCTCCAGGAGAGACCTTGACCCCTGCCTCCCTAGAACCTAGGGCTCCCGGCTGGGTTTGAGCTCTGTCCCTGACTCTGCATCTGCACAGAAGGCCTCTGGAGGTCGTGATTAATCTGCCCGGGCAGCACAGGACCCAGGTCACCAGCCAACCACGTCCCCCTGACACATGATCTCAGGACCCTGGTCTTCACACTGCCCACAGGTCCCAGAGATGGAGGCGTATCTGGGGACTCGCCTTGCGGGTCCCTCTTTCCCGGATTCAGAAGCAGACAGAGGGCCCGGGAGGATGGAGACTGACATTTACCTGTTGTACTGGGACCTGCAGTGGTGGTCGAGTCAGCCATGTGCCTGGAGGAGACACGTCAAGGCCTTGCTTAGGCGTCACCTGAGAGTCCTCCACCTCCTCTGTCAGCCTCCCTGACAGGGCCACACGCCCCTCCCGGCACCTGCCCTGAGGTGCACAGGTCTCCTGCTCGGCGAGGCTATCGGTGGGGAGGCCGGGAGGGCTCAGCCTGTCGCCCACCGTTCCCACTCGGCAGGTCTGCTCCAGCAGAGACCTTGACCACCTGCCACCAGGAGCCTGTGCTGACTGGGGTTTGAGCTCTGTCCCTGACTCTGAACTGGACAGAAGGCCCCCGGGGGGTTGTGATTAACTTGATCAATTCCAGGTCCCGGTTCTTAAGAAGCAGTATCACGGGAGACTAGCAACCTCCAGGTAAGGGAGCTGAGGACTCACCTGGCCAGGATGTGGAATGCGTCACCGCAGCTGTGAGGGAGGAAAACACAGTCAGTCACAAAGCACCCGACTTCCAAAACCAGGTCCCAGGTGGAGGATCTCCGCAGACACACAGTCCCCGGATGACACGGCCCATCATGCCCGAACCTCAGAGCCCCTCACACCACCACCCCTGCCCCTGGACACGGCCAGCCTCACTGAGTCCGAGGACTCATTCCTGGTGTAAGAAGCCATGTTCGGCCTGGGACCGGCCCCCACAGCTGGGTGATGGGTCCAGAGAATGAGCAGAGCATGGACCTCCCCACGGGGCTGAAGGTCACACCAGTGTTTCTCCCTCAGGGGCTAGGATGTTAGACTTTATCCCAATTTCTAGACGTCCCCGTGTCCTCATGATGCCCCATCTGACACCTTCCTGGCCCCTTCCATTCACTGGGTCCTGCCTCCTCTCCCCATTCTCTCCACACGCCCAAGAGGCTGATCATCATCCCAGAGAGAGGCGCAGAGACGTCCTGTCCTGCCTGCTGCAAGGATCTCCAGGGAGGGGAAGCCCCCAGAGTGCCGGTGGAGGGGAGCGGAGACACCCGCATCCTCACGGGGACACCCAGGGTGCAGCTCCATGGCTCCACGGTCAGGCCAAGACCCTCCCTTTTGGCAAAGTATCGGCCTCTGCGTGGTCCTGGCCGACCTCAGGCACAGTCTCAGAGGTGACAAGGCCTCGCCTGAAGCAGGGAACAGGCACGATCACCCCTCTTCCAGGGACAGCACCTCGAGCTCCAGGATCCCCCGGCTCAATGGGGGAGGATGCGGACCTGGAGCAAATGTCTCCTGGTGGGCTTTGAGCTTTGTCCCTGACTCTGATCTGGACAGAAGGACTCCGGGGGGTTGTGATTAAGCTGCTCGGGCACCACTGGACCCAGGTCACCAGCCTTCCATGTCCCCCTGACATCTGGTCTCAGGACCCTGGTCTGCCCACAGCCCACAGGGACACGGAGTTGGAGGCATATTCGGGAACTCCTCATGGGGGTCCCTCCAGGCTTGAAGCAGACAGAGGACCCAGGAGGACGGAGACTGACATTTACCTGTTGTACTGGGACGAGCAGTGGTGGTTGAAGTCAGCCATGAGCCTGGAGGAGACACGTCAAGGCCTTGCTTAGGCGTCAACTGAGGAGTCCTCCACCTCCTCTCTCAGCCTCCCTGACAGGGTCACACGCCCCTCCCGGCACCTGCCCCTGAGGTGCACAGGTCTCCTGCTCGGCGAGGCCATCGGGGGGAGGCCGTGAGGGCTCAGCCTGTCGCCCACCGTTCCCACTCGGCAGGTCTGCTCCAGCAGAGACCTTGACCCCTGCCTCCCTAGAACCAAGGGCTCCCGGCTGGGTTTGAGCTCTGCCCCTGACTCTGCATCTGCACAGAAGGCCTCTGGAGGTCGTGATTAAACTACCCGGGCACCACAGGACCCAGGTCACCAGCCAACCACGTCCCCCTGACACCTGATCTCAGGACCCTGGTCTGCCCACTGCCCACAGGTCACAGACATGGAGGCGTAACTGGGGACTCGCCTTGTGGGTCCCTCCCGACCGGATTCAGAAGCAGACAGAGAGCCCGGGAGGATGGAGACTAACATTTACCTGTTGTTCTGGGATGTGAGGGGGTCGAAGTCAGCCACGAGCCTGGAGGAGACACGTCAAGGCCTTGCTTAGGCGTCACCTGAGAGTCCTCCACCTCCTCTGTCAGCCTCCCTGACAGGGCCACACGCCCCTCCCGGCACCTGCCCCTGAGGTGCACAGGTCTCCTGCTCGGCGAGGCTATCGGTGGGGAGGCCGGGAGGGCTCAGCCTGTCGCCCACCGTTCCCACTCGGCAGGTCTGCTCCAGCAGAGACCTTGACCACCTGCCACCAGGAGCCCTGTGCTGACTGGGCTTTGAGCTCTGTCCCTCATGCTGCATCTGCACAGAAGGCCCCCGGGGAGTTGTGATTAACTTGATCAATTCCAGGTCCTGGTTCCCAAGAAGCAGTATCACGGGAGACTAGCAACCTCCAGGTAAGGGAGCTGAGGACTCACCTGGCCAGGATGTGGAATGCGTCACCGCAGCTGTGAGGGAGGAAAACACAGTCAGTCACAAAGCACCCGACTTCCAAAACAAGGTCCCAGGTGGAGGATCTCTGCAGACACACAGTCCCCGGGATGTCACGGCCCATCATGCCCGAACCTCAGAGCCCCTCACACCACCACCCCTGCCCCTGGACACGGCCAGCCTCACTGAGTCCGAGGACTCATTCCTGGTGTAAGAAGCCATGTCCGGCCTGGGACCGGCCCCCACAGCTGGGTGATGGGTCCAGAGAATGAGCAGAGCATGGACCTCTCCACGGGGCTGAAGGTCACACCAGTGTTTCTCCCTCAGGGGCTAGGATGTTAGACTTTATCCCAATTTCTAGACGTCCCCGTGTCCTCATGATGCCCCATCTGACACCTTCCTGGCCCCTTCCATTCACTGGGTCCTGCCTCCTCTCCCCATTCTCTCCACACGCCCAAGAGGCTGATCATCATCCCAGACAGAGGCGCAGAGATGTCCTGTCCTGCCTGCTGCAAGGATCTCCAGGGAGGGGAAGCCCCCAGAGTGCCGGTGGAGGGGAGCGGAGACACCCGCATCCTCACGGGGACACCCAGGGTGCAGCTCCATGGCTCCAGGGTCAGGCCAAGACCCTCCCTTTTGGCAAAGTATCGGCCTCTGCGTGGTCCTGGCCGACCTCAGGCACAGTCTCAGAGGTGACAAGGCCTCGCCTGAAGCAGGGAACAGGCACGATCACCCCTCTTCCAGGGACAGCACCTCGAGCTCCAGGATCCCCCGGCTCAATGGGGGAGGATGCGGACCTGGAGCAAATGTCTCCTGGTGGGCTTTGAGCTTTGTCCCTGACTCTGATCTGGACAGAAGAACTCCGGGGGGTTGTGATTAAGCTGCTCGGGCACCACTGGACCCAGGTCACCAGCCTTCCATGTCCCCCTGACACCTGGTCTCAGGACCCTGGTCTGCCCACAGCCCACAGGGACACGGAGATGCAGGCACATTCGGGAACTCCTCATGGGGGTCCCTCCAGGCTTGAAGCAGACAGAGGACCCAGGAGGACGGAGACTGACATTTACCTGTTGTACTGGGACCTGCAGTGGTGGTCGGAGTCTGCCATGAGCCTGGAGGAGACACGTCAAGGCCTTGCTTAGGCGTCACCTGGGAGTCCTCCACCTCCTCTGTCAGCCTCCCTGACAGGGTCACACGCCCCTCCCGGCACCTGCCCCTGAGGTGCACAGGTCTCCTGCTCGGCGAGGCCATCGGGGGGGAGGCCGTAGGGCTCAGCCTGTCGCCCACCGTTCCCACTCGGCAGGTCTGCTCCATGAGAGACCTTGACCCCTGCCACCCTAGAACCAAGGGCTCCCGGCTGGGTTTGAGCTCTGCCCCTGACTCTGCATCTGCACAGAAGGCCTCTGGAGGTCGAGATTAAACTACCCGGGCACCACAGGACCCAGGTCACCAGCCAACCACGTCCCCCTGACACCTGATCTCAGGACCCTGGTCTGCCCACTGCCCACAGGTCCCAGCGATGGAGGCGTATCTGGGGACTCGCCTTGCGGGTCCCTCTTTCCCGGATTCAGAAGCAGACAGAGGGCCCGGGAGGATGGAGACTGACATTTACCTGTTGTACTGGGACCTGCAGTGGTGGTCGGAGTCAGCCATGTGCCTGGAGGAGACACGTCAAGGCCTTGCTTAGGCGTCACCTGAGAGTCCTCCACCTCCTCTGTCAGCCTCCCTGACAGGGCCACACGTCCCTCCCGGCACCTGCCCCTGAGGTGCACAGGTCTCCTGCTCGGCGAGGCTATCGGTGGGGAGGCCGGGAGGGCTCAGCCTGTCGCCCACCGTTCCCACTCGGCAGGTCTGCTCCAGCATAGACCTTGACCACCTGCCACCAGGAACCCTGTGCTGACTGGGGTTTGGGCTCTGTCCCTGACGCTCATCTGCACAGAAGGCCCCTGGGGAGTTGTGATTAACTTGATCAATTCCAGGTCCTGGTTCCCAAGAAGCAGTATCACGGGAGACTAGCAACCTCCAGGTAGGGGAGCTGAGGACTCACCTGGCCAGGATGTGTAATGCGTCACCGCAGCTGTGAGGGAGGAAAACACAGTCAGTCACAAAGCACCCAACCTTCCAAAACCAGGTCCCAGGTGGAGGATCTCCGCAGACACACAGTCCCCGGGATGTCACGACCCATCATGCCCGAACCTCAGAGCCCCTCACACCACCACCCCTGCCCCTGGACACGGCCAGCCTCGCTGAGTCCGAGGACTCATTCCTGGTGTAAGAAGCCATGTCCGGCCTGGGACCGACCCTACAGCTGGGTGATGGGTCCAGAGAATGAGCAGAGCATGAACCTCCCCACGGGGCTGAAGGTCACACCAGTGTTTCTCCCTCAGGGGCTAGGATGTTAGACTTTATCCCAATTTCTAGACGTCCCCGTGTCCTCATGATGCCCCATCTGACACCTTCCTGGCCCCTTCCATTCACTGGGTCCTGCCTCCTCTCCCCATTCTCTCCACACGCCCAAGAGGCTGATCATCATCCCAGACAGAGGCGCAGAGATGTCCTGTCCTGCCTGCTGCAAGGATCTCCAGGGAGGGGAAGCCCCCAGAGTGCTGGTGGAGGGGAGCGGAGACACCCGCATCCTCACGGGGACACCCAGGGTGCAGCTCCATGGCTCCACGGTCAGGCCAAGACCCTCCCTTTTGGCAAATATCGGCCTCTGCGTGGTCCTGGCCGACCTCAGGCACAGTCTCAGAGGTGACAAGGCCTCGCCTGAAGCAGGGAACAGGCACGATCACCCCTCTTCCAGGGACAGCACCTCGAGCTCCAGGATCCCCCGGCTCAATGGGGGAGGATGCGGACCTGGAGCAAATGTCTCCTGGTGGGCTTTGAGCTTTGTCCCTGACTCTGATCTGGACAGAAGAACTCCGGGGGGTTGTGATTAAGCTGCTCGGGCACCACTGGACCCAGGTCACCAGCCTTCCATGTCCCCCTGACACCTGGTCTCAGGACCCTGGTCTGCCCACAGCCCACAGGACACGGAGATGCAGGCACATTCGGGAACTCCTCATGGGGGTCCCTCCAGGCTTGAAGCAGACAGAGGACCCAGGAGAACGGAGACTGACATTTACCTGTTGTACTGGGACCTGCAGTGGTGGTCGGAGTCTGCCATGAGCCTGGAGGAGACAAGTCATGGCCTTGCTTAGGCGTCACCTGGGAGTCCTCCACCTCCTCTGTCAGCCTCTCTGACAGGGCCACATGCCCCTCCCGGCACCTGCCCCTGAGGTGCACAGGTCTCCTGCTCGGCGAGGCCATCGGGGGGGAGGCCGTAGGGCTCAGCCTGTCGCCCACCGTTCCCACTCGGCAGGTCTGCTCCAGCAGAGACCTTGACCCCTGCCACCCTAGAACCAAGGGCTCCCGGCTGGGTTTGAGCTCTGCCCCTGACTCTGCATCTGCTCAGAAGGCCTCTGGAGGTCGTGATTATACTACCCGGGCACCACTGGACCCAGGTCACCAGCCAACCACGTCCCCCTGACACCTGCTCTCAGGACTCTGGTCTGACCACAGCACACAGGTCCCAGCGATGGAGGCGTATCTGGGGACTCGCCTTGCGGGTCCCTCTTTCCTGGATTCAGAAGCAGACAGAGGGCCCAGGAGGATGGAGACTGACATTTACCTGTTGTACTGGGACCTGCAGTGGTGGTCGGAGTCTGCCATGTGCCTGGAGGAGACACGTCAAGGCCTTGCTTAGGCGTCACCTGAGGAGTCCTCCACCTCCTCTGTCAGCCTCCCTGACAGGGCCACACGCCCCTCCCGGCACCTGCCCCTGAGGTGCACAGGTCTCCTGCTCGGCAAGGCCATCGGGGGGGAGGCCGTGAGGGCTCAGCCTGTCGCCCTCCGTTCCCACTCGGCAGGTCTGCTCCATGAGAGACCTTGACCCCTGCCGCCCTAGAACCAAGGGCTCCCGGCTGGGTTTGAGTTCTGCCCCTGACTCTGCATCTGCCCAGAAGTCCCCCGGGGGTGGGTAATAGAACTGGAGCCAATCACAGGTCCTGCTACCCAGAGGACCACATTCACACGGGACTCGGCCTCCCGTGAACATGCCTCTCCCGCTGCGGGAGGCCGACGTTCCGAGTGCATCCCGGGGTGTGGCCAGGGCTGTCAGCTGGAGGGAAGCCACAAGTCTGATGTCCCATCCCCAGAAAGCCCCTGGGGACAGTATTCATTATTCCCCAAAACGTCCCGGCCTGAATCTAACAGGTCCTATTCACGGGCGCAGAGGCTGCCTGTCCGTCCAGGGCAGCTCCATCTGGGGCCGACCAGCCTGTGCTGCTGAGAACTGAGATGGACGATGGACACACGGGGGCTTGTGAATCCCCCCTCCAGGGGTGAAGGACTACTGGCCGTTCTCAGTGACAGAGGCAAAACTCCTGTGCCCCTTGGGGTTCAGAGAACAGTGGGTCATTTAGAGTGGGGGAGGGGCATGGCTGACCAGGGAGAGAAGGGACCTCCAGGTCACGAGCTGGGGACTCACCTGGCCAGGCTGTGGAATGCGGGACAGCAGCTGTGAGGAAGGAAAGTACAGTCAGTCACAAAGCACCCGGCTTCCAGAGCCAGGTCCCAGGTGGAGGACCCCCGGCTGACACACAGTCTCCGGTGGACACGACCGGTCATGCCTGAACCTCACAGTCCCTCACACCAACACCCCTGTCCCTGGCCAGCGCCAGCTCGCAGAGTCTGAGGTCTCATTCCTGTGTAGGAAGCCAGTGTCCGGTTGGAATCAGCCAACGCAGCTGGGTGATAGGTTCAGAGAATGAGCAGAGAGTGGGCCTCCCCACGGGGCTGATGACCACACCAGTGTTTCTCCCTCAGGGGCTAGGATGTCACATGTATCCCAATGTCTAATGTTCCCCATGTGCTCATGGTGCCCCGTCCGACATCCTCCTGGCTCCTCCCATTCACGGGGCCCGGACCCCTACCCCACCCTCTTCCCCCCACACTTTCTGTACTTGGTCCATGAACTAGCTCCGGGTCCTGGGTTCGGGGCAGCATCTGGGAGAGCCTAGGTAACGCCATCTTCCAGAGGGGAGGTCTCACCACCCCACCCCCCACCCAGGAGGCTGCCTGCAGGGACGCCCAGACGCCCTCCCTGGCGGAGCTGAGGTCACACTGGGCACAGGTCAGGCTCCTGCTCTGTCCTCGGGGAGCCGGCTCCTGAGTGGGAATCAGGGCCACAGGCACGGTCAGGCCCAGGGCAGGCGACACCTGCAGGCTGCCGGGGACACGCACGAAGCAGGAGGCTGTTTCAGCCTGAGTCCCTGCCACTGGCTTTGGGGCCTCACGTCCCCGCAGTCCCTCCACGGCCTTCAGTACATTCAGGTCAGACAGGGGCGTTCAGGGCGCTGTGTGGGTTCTCAGCACCACCACCCAGGAGAGGGAGCCACCCAGGCCGGCCCACCTGAGCAGATGACGCCGGCGTCCTCGCCGTGGCCACAGTTGTGCTTGTTCCAGCCGTTGTGCGGGCAGTGCCACAGGAAGGACTCGTGGCCCGAGCAGCCCACGTCGTCCAGGAGAATCGGCCCTGAGCCCTGGCCGAAGCGGGCGCTTCCTGGAGCCGCCCTGGCCCAGCCACAGCCCAGCTGCCTGCACACCACGTTGGCGTCGTTGTTGTCCCAGCTGTCGTCACACACGGTGCCCCAGGAGCCTCGGTACAGGACTTCCACCCGGCCCTGACACCGGTCCCCTCCGTTCACCAGCCGCAGGTCCAACCTCGATTCGGTGGTGAACCCTGGAGGACGGCAGGACAGAGGCAGGTTCTAGACTCAAGACCCTTCTCTTGGCCGAGCCCAGGGCAGGCGGTCAGCGGTGAACATGCCCACAGGCTGATCATCATCCCAGACAGAGGCGCAGAGACGTCCTGTCCTGCCTGCTGCAAGGGTCTCCAGGGAGGGGAAGCCCCCAGAGTGCCGGTGGAGGGGAGCGGAGACACCCGCATCCTCACGGGGACACCCAGGGTGCAGCTCCATGGCTCCAGGGTCAGGCCAAGACCCTCCCTTTTGGCAAAGTATCGGCCTCTGCGTGGTCCTGGCCGACCTCAGGCACAGCCTCGGAGGTGAGGAGACCTCGCCTGAAGCAGGGCACAGGCACCTCTATCCCTCTTCCCTGGACAGAACCGCGAGCTCCAGGATCACACCGCTCAGTGCGGGAGGATGTGGACGGGGAGCAAATGTCTCCTGGTGGGGTTTGAGCTCTGTCCCTGACTCTGAACTGGACAGAAGGCCCCCGGGGGGTTGTGATTAACTTGATCAATTCCAGGTCCCGGTTCCCAAGGAGCAGTATCACGGGAGACTAGCAACCTCCAGGTAAGGGAGCTGAGGACTCACCTGGCCAGGATGTGGAATGCGTCACAGCAGCTGTGAGGGAGGAAAACACAGTCAGTCACAAAGCACCTGACTTCCAAAACCAGGTCCCAGGTGGAGGATCTCCGCAGACACACAGTCCCCGGATGACACGGCCCATCATGCCCGAACCTCAGAGCCCCTCACACCACCACCCCTGCCCCTGGACACGGCCAGCCTCGCTGAGTCCGAGGACTCATTCCTGGTGTAAGAAGCCAGTGTCGGGCCTGGGAACGGCCCCCACAGCTGGGTGATGGGTCCAGAGAATGAGCAGAGCCTGGACCTCCCCACGGGGCTGAAGGTCACACCAGTGTTTCTCCCTCAGGGGCTAGGATGTTAGACTTTATCCCAATTTCTAGTCGTCCCCATGTCCTCCTGATGCCCCATCTGATACCTTCCTGGCCCCTTCCATTCACTGGGTCCTGCCTCCTCTCCCCATTCTCTCCACACGCCCAAGAGGCTGATCATCATCCCAGAGAGAGGAGCAGAGACGTCCTGTCCTGCCAGCTGCAGGGATGCTCCAGGGAAGGAAAGCACCCAGAGTGCAGATGGAGAGGCATGGAGCCCCCCATATCCACACCAGGTGTATTGATTTGATCCCTAGCAATAGGATCAGCATTCCTCTTACATTCCCTTTGAGGTCTCATGTTTTAGGCACTTTGGGGAGCTTCCCCGTTAGCCAAGATCCCTGAGCGTATCTGTACCTGGGCTCTAACTTAACAAATGTTTCCCCCGCAGTCTTTGTGGTGAATGCACAGTGACCGCTCTCCAACGCAAGGTACGAGCACCTCAGGGGGAAGAAAAGGCACCTTAGCTCACTACCTAGCGAGGGTCTGGAGACCACATGTTTTTTATGTCAGCAGATCATGGGCAGGGCCTCGATTCCCTGGGACATGGGTCCAGTTCTTTCCTCCTGACGCAGAGACATCTGATGACACCTGGATGTCCTGTCAGGAGTCCTGACATATATCTGGGGATTTTCTCTTGGTTTGGAGAGTATTTTTCACATGTTCCTCCCCATCCACAGCCAGTTCTTTGGGGCTGGATGGTGAGGTCAGCACAGAGTTATGAAGATCGGGAATCTGCATGGTGTTCTCAAAACGGATCCCACTGGTCTCTGACCCAAAGCAACAGGCTCCTGGAGACTCCAGGTTCCAACAGACTCTTTCCTGCCCACTGGGACATGAAGGAGGCTCCCTCCATGCCAGGCCCTCTGTGTCACCAAAAGTCTCTCTTTACAGCACATGTTTACAACATGTTTACCCATCCTCTAAAGTCTTCCTGGATAAGGTCAACCCCATGGATATACTTGGTATCATGACCTGCAGAGAAGAACCCATGTAAAATTATTCATTACCTGTGTCAGAAGGAGTCGTGATACCTGTTGCAGTAATCTCTGCTAGAGATGAAGAAACAGAAAATATAAAGTTAGATCTCCTCTGAGGAGAATCAGGACTGAATATAAACTTGAATCTGCTAAGAAAATTTCTGATCTGGATTTTGCCTTCCTGCATGACTTTGGAAAAGTTAACAAACCTATTTAGAATTGACTTCTTTCACTTTAAAAGTCTACTCAGGGGGGAGAGGGTATCTCTGTATCAACCTACTGAGCCTGATTTTGTACTTTCCTCATGTGACCTATGCAGGGCTCCAGGAAATGGATGAAAGAATGATGTTCACACCTTTATACTTCTAATTGATTTCTCTTGTCTAATTGCATTGGCTAGCGTCTTTAGTACAATGTTGATTAGTGGGTGGGGGCGGTAGTTCTTAAGGGCATACTTGTTTTGTATTTTACTTCAGTGAAAATGCTTCTAATGCTTCCCCATTAAGTAAGATTCTGGCTTTACGCCTCTGGTTTTCAAATTGCTTCAGGGCGCCCTGGTGCTTGTCCAAGTCCCCAGCAAGAGCCTACTTGATTCTGGGGCTTGGAGAAAAGATGACCTTAACCCACTGCAACCAGAGCACTGAGTTTCTGTCTGAATTATCAGTTGAGCTTCTACGTGAGGCCACAGGTGGCTGCGGGGGGAACAATTTAACCAGCAGCTCTCCTCTGGGGCCACACAGAGGGCAGCACCCTCAGAGGTCTCCTGTGGGTCAAAGGCGCCCTTGGTCCTTGAACACCTAGTCACCAACCCCCTGTGAGCAGGTGACTTGCAGCCCTGGGATCTGCCAGCAGAGTCTTTCCTCTGAATCAACGCGGCCGCTGGGCTCCATCCACGGCCGCTGGGCCGGACATTAAGTTACCCTATCCGACTCCTCCTCTCCTCCCCTCCTACGTCCACCTGAGCGCCAAGGTCATCTTCACTTTTACACCATTGTGCCAGGTTAGCTCTTCTTCTCTGGAGCCTGACCTCCTCCTGGGGCTTCCCAGACGACCCCCTGCCGCGGCCCCCCTTCCCTCGCCCAGGCACATCCGCTGGTCAGCCGGATGCACGGAGTGCCCACTCGAGCTCATTCCCGCGCTGACCGCCCAGGCGGCCCAGGCTCTGTCCTCGTAAAGCACAGAGATGCTCAGGTCACTGCTCAGACGCCTCCTTACTCGGTTCCCATGAGGATCAAGTCCAAGGAGGCGTTTGGGCAAGAGCGGGCCTCCTGGGAGGGGCTGCGGGGGCCTGATTCACACCACAGACGACCTCGATTTGGAGTAAGTAGGCCCCCCGCCGACGGACATGGTCCCGCCCAATCCGCCCCACGGATTAGACAAGGGAAGCAGGCGGCGGATCCAGCCCGGCGTCCTGACTGCAGGGGCCGAATCCTGGCTGTGGCTTTTCAGTGGTTAGTGAGAGGCTATGAGAAATCTGTGGTCAGGGAGTGACCAGAGAGGACGGAACGGGGTGGAAGCTAGGGGCCAGTGGTTGCGGCGGCTGTTGTAAGGGGAGGGGTCGGGGAGAGGGGGGAAACGCCCTTCCTGCTTCCCCTTCTGGTCCCTCCTGTGAAGGGTCCCTGCCTCAGCCTACCCCTCGCCGGTGTCAGTCACCAGAGAGATGCCCATCACACCCTTCCAGGCACGTCGGGACCCTCAGGGTGTGCTGCAAAGGGGCAGGGTCGGCCTCGGCAGAGCCCAGAACTCGGGGGCAGAGGCAGCACCCCGCAGGGGCACAGAAAGCACCCGGGCCTGTCCCGTTTGGTGCAAAGGGGGCGTGAGTGAGGAGAGACGGGTGCATTTGGTAAGAATCGTGAGCAGAACCAAAGGCCTCTGCTCGGGCTCCGATCTCTGCCCAGCCACTCCCCACCATGTGACCTCAGACATGTAACTGCTAACAAGGGACCCAGCTGTGCCCGGCTTCCCCACAGGCAAGACGGGTCTCCAGCACTCCCTCCCCCCACGTGCCGAGGGTAGCAGCCCCGACTGCATTGCTTGGGCACTTGCCACGTGCCAGGCGGTATTTTAAATGCTTGTGAGGAGATCAGCTCACTTGGTGTCTGAAGGTGTTTTGTGCAGGGCGCAGGGGAAGCCCGGGGGACTTCCAGGTAGCTTCACTAACTGCGGGGGTGGGCGTTGACTTTGTCCCCAAGCTCAACGTGCTCGCCTGCAGTGAACGCCGGCCAGGCCGGGAGAAGGAAGGAGCATGGCAGATGGGACGTGCCTGGGGTCTCGGGCACCCCTGACCCCTCCCTCCGCACCCTACGTTCTGGGGCCAAGACTGCACTCGGCCTCCCACAGCAGCAGTGAGCAGAACCCTGGGAATACAAGTTTAAAGAAGAACAAAAAGGTCTTACCATAGCCTGTCGTCATGGCGGTCCCCCAACCTAGAAAGAAACCAAACGCTTCTTAGAAGGAGGTCCCAGACCTGGGCCGGAGCTTCACCTTGCAATCCCGCCAGGGGGCGCTGTGGTTCAGCCTTGGGTTTGTGTTGCCTCCAGCTAAAAGGTATTACCTTAGTCCCTCCTCAAAATAGCCCTGTGGGGAAACTGAGGCTGGGGAGGTGAGCCAGGACCAGCTGGCTAGAAAGTGCCAGGGGTGGGATTTGAACTCAGGCTGCGAGGGCCTCAGTGAGCTGCTGCTGTGTCCCTGCTCACTGGCTCTGAACCCGGCGGGACACCCAGTGGGGCATTACTGATGCACTCGGCGGACAGGGACTGCTCTCTGACCGCGCGTCACCCGGGAAGGCTCTGTCCTGTGGGCTCGGACTGGCAGGTCCGTGTGGGACCTGGAGAGGGGGCGGCAGCACGGGGGCGGTGGGTTGGAGCACATTTGTGTCTTAAACCCTTAGACAACATGTGTCCGTAACCAGCCAACTCGCCGTCCCGGTCACATTACAGGAGTTCCCCCGAGAGCAGTCGTTCTCAAAGCAGGTTCCACAGAGCGGCGGCATCAGCCAGGCCCTGGACCCGGTCACAGAGGCCAGCCCTCAGGCCTCCCCAGGCGTAGGAAGAACCCCGCCGGGGGTGACCATCGCGTGGCACCCACATGCAGGAGGCTGGCACGTGTGAGGCTGCAAACCACGGCCCGCAGCCCACGGCGCGCACACGAACAGCAGCCTCAGCAGAACGGGGACGGTCCACCGGCAGCCGCCCGCCGGGCCCACCGGCCAGCAGACCCCAGCGGAGGGGAGGGCACCACGCCTGCCCCGGAAGTTGCTCCGGTGGTGAGGCGCACCGCTGGGCAGCCAGAGAGCAGGACCAGAGGCTCCGATTGAGGGGTGCCCGGGAGTGGGGCTGAAGCCCGCCTGGTTTCCTGGCACTGTGCCAGGCAGCCCCGGCCCACGAGAGCCAGGCAGCGGGGGGACACGGTTGACGGGCTCGGAGGACGAGAGACTCTGTGAATCAACTCCCCCTCAAAATAACCTCATCAGAATAAGACGACAAACTCCCAGGGGCGCGTCCTGCTGTCTCCTGGCAACAGAAGTGCCCCCCGACCCGAATGTCCCCCTCATTAAAGATGTCCTCGCGATGCCTGAACGTCCCTTCGGCGGCGCTCCCCCCTTTTGAAGGTACCTCACTGCCAAGCCCGGAGAAACCGTGGGAAGGGGCCGCACGCACTACCGTCTGGTAGGCGTCCGCGGGAAGCAGCCGATACTTTCTCATTCTGCACAACGGAACCTTGAAGAAATGGGACCAAGCGAAGCTACAATGTTTCTGAAACAGCTGCACCGAGCTACAGAAGAGCTGCCGAGCCTGCACAGACCCAGCCTGCCCAGCCGGTGCGCTCCTACTGACTGGACGCGGGCCGTCGGTGTGTCGCCGGGTTCTCTCCGTCCCGGGGTCGTCTGAGATGCCCCCCGTTAGGGAGCGTTAACATGAAATGTTGGGGAAAGGCCTAGAAGAGTAACAGTGAGCTGATCCTGGGCACCCCTGTGTGCCAGACACTGCAGGGGTGGCCCCCTGTCCATACAGAACACAACCCCTTTTTACAAATGAGTAAACTGAGGCCTGCAGCGGCCCCAGAGCCGGGAAGCGGCAGAGCAAAGGCACCTGGACGCCCGGACTCTTCCTCAGGGGTTTGTGCAAAGACCAGAGCAGAGAGCCGGCCACCGCGGGTCCCCCAGCCCTGCGCTAAGGGCCACAGGGCATCCCCAAGGCTTCGGCAAGGACCAGCAAGGGTCCACGGGCCACACCTGCGACCCAAATGCAGCGGGCCTCCTGCAGGTTCCGATCCTGGCCCGGCTGCTCTGCAGCTGGACAAGCCACACAAACGTCCCGAGCCTGTCCCCTCCGGTGCAACGTGGACACAGTGAGACCCGAGTCTGCGGTGGTTAGCAGGGTTAGACGAGAGACTACGGCACCCCGTCGGGCTGAGTACAGGACGGGAGAGCGGAGGGTTGGCTCCCACCTCCCACCTGAGAGCACAGGCAGGCACGAGCACGTGTGTGCATGTCCGCGTACACGCGTGCACACAACTTCGTGGTGAAACACAGGTGCCGCTCTCCAGGGGCACTGCTGCCTTAGCCCTTGTCGGTGAGGAGAGGGGACTCCTCTCCCGGACACGTCCTGAGTCACCTTCCAGAGTCCCTGCAGATCTGGAACAATAGCCCCAGAGCTAAGAACCCTGCCTCCCACTTTCGCATATTCTGATGAAAACATGACCTCCAGCCCCTGGACTGCCCAGAGGCAGCGCCCTCAAAGGGCCTCCAGGCAAGAAGGAAGGGTGGTGTCCCCTGGCTGGAGTCACCCTGAGGCACACACATCGCCCGTGCAGCCTGCCCCATCGGCAGGGTGGTGAAGCTCGGGTTGGGGGGCTGCTCTCGTGAAAGCAGTTTCCCAGGCGAACTTCTCCGGGGCTCCCGCCGGGCCTGGGGCCGGAGCGGCAGTGCTGGGCGTTATCTGGAAACCAGGAGTCTTTGCCCTTTCTTCTGAGATCCACGCCTGCAGCACAAGGGGCCTCAGAGAGGGGTGGGTGGGGGAGAAGGAGGAAGAGAGGGAGAGAGACAGAGACAGCAGCGGGCTGGCTAACTGCCCGTCCACTTGGCACCTCTAAAATGATACTAAGACTCAACGTCACACTGCTTCGCCCGTGACCCCTTTGTGTGCATTTACCACACGACACCCCGAGAACACAAAGATGAGCTTCACGTCACGTATCTACAGCAGCGGGTGACCGACACAGCCTTGGGGTCTCCGCGGTCTCGCCTGTGCTCAGCCGCTTGGCCCCCCTCCCTCAGTGACCAGTGACCATGGAGCCGGAGAGACCCACAGACAGAAGTCACACAGCGAACACTTTCGGGGACGGCCCCTCCTGTCCGTGTTTATCGCACCCTGACCCACGGCAAAGCTGTCGGCCCTCCTAACAGCCCTCGTCTTCTTTGCCTTCACCTCGGGGATGTTGCGGAGGCCAACCGATCCTTTCTGACTGAGTGACTCACCGAAAACATCCTGACTGGTCTCTTCCAGCCCCGACCGTTGTATCTCTCAGACAGAAACCCCGAAAAAGCCATTCCTCGTACACACGCAGGTACAGCAAAGCCCTGCCCCCTCCCGACGGATGCCCCTCAGGACAGGCGGCCTCGGCCGGGAACAAGCCGCTAGATGGCGCCTGGACCGGGGAGTGGCGTGAACAGGCGCATATATACAATTAGATGTGATACCTGAAGTTAGACCGGGACCCAGTAAAAGACACAGCTCGAGGAAGACCCTGGAGATCCCCATGTTGCTGGGTGCTTCTCAGCTGGAGTAAAAACCCCTCGATATTTATAGGTTCCTGGCTGAAGGAAGGCGTGTCGCCCGGGGTATGATACCCCTCTGGCTGTTGTAAATCACTACAAAGGAAGCCAGGGGCTTTGCGAACAGTCAATAGCTAACCTGTGGGAACAAATTAGGTGTGTTAATTGATTGTCCTGTGAATGATCTGGCGGTTCACCAACTGCTACAGCAGTGACATTACTGATGACGTTACTGATACAATCTCCAGCTTCCTGGTAGGGACGCCTCCCAGGTTCTCCAACGGCCCCTGACGGAGGCCTGATTTCATCCTGGAGAATCTGAATGGACCTGTGGGGAGTCCTCCCCAGGGTTCAGGGCAGAACAGGATGTGTGCCTCTGGGCAAACACGGGACCCGGTGCCAAGGGGAAAGCATCTCTCTGGGCTGATGGGTCCTGGCAGGAACTTCTCCCTTTGGCCCCGACCTTGGAAGAACGAGGGCGACCTTCGTGCAGAGATGGCTGGAGGGGAGGAGGCAGGTGGAGAGTCCGTGGGGCCCGCAGGCCTGTGCTGGCCTCGCCACCTTCCGGACCTCACGCTCGGTCCCCGGCACACGTCCTGTGAGGCTTGGGTGGACCTCGGCAGCTGCAGAGCCAGCCCTGACCTGCTCCTGCCGGGCACAGGGTCCCTCTCCTGGGCTCCGCCCTCTGAGACCCCACTCTCGATCACCGACCCTGGTGAACCCCCCACAACCTGCCACAAAAGTTGCCTGTCATTCATTTTTATCAGAACGCTCTCAGGGGTTGCTTAGCAGGACTGGCCTCGTCCTCCTGGCCTGGGTGACCAGTGTCCTGAGACCTGCGGCCCTCTCCTGGGTTCCATTCTGGAAGGTACCATGAACCCGTGCTCTGTGCGGGCCACCAGTCAGGGTTTGGGGCTGAACACCTGCATTCGGCTTCATTCGGATGAAATACACTCAACTCTGGTCTTCCGTTTTGATCCTCCGGCTCTTCCCGTTGTCCCCACATCCCTCCCCTCCCCATGCTGAGAGTGGACACCTTCCCAGGACAGGCTCAAGGCCTTCCATTCTACTGTCGGTCAGTCCAACAGTTGCTGAGGTCAGGTGGCAAGACACCTCTGTCCGGGGACGCCCACGACCAGCCGCGACCTCTTCCTGGAGCCGGCCCGAGAGTAACTTCGAAGCCGGGTCTGGGCTCATCTGAACCAGAGAGCTGTGTAGCTCATTCATGTCTGCCTGGCGTGCAGCGTAGCCAGGTGCTGGCAGGGACACTAAGCATCTCTGCGGGAGAGAGGGCGAAAGTGTCCTCTCCCCAGGAGCTACTGCCTGGTGTTAGGCACAACTGCACGGTGCCGGTGACAGCAGGGGAGTGAGGGTTCGTGCAAGGTGCCTTGGGACGTACAGAAAAGCCCCCGCCCCGACGGCAGGGGCAGCTTGTGAGAGAAGGCGACTTCCGCAGGAGTCCTCTGCCCTCGAGCAGGAAGACCGGGTGAGGACGAGGGGCCACCATCCAGCCTGCGAGCACGGGGACCGAGGGATCTGCCAGGGCACTGGGGGATCTGCCAGGGCGCCGGGGGATCTGCCAGGGCGCCGGGGGATCTGCCAGGGCGCCAGGGGATCTGCCAGGGCACCAGGGGATCTGCCAGGGCGCCGAGGGATCTGCCAGGGCACCGGGGGATCTGCCAGGGCGCTGGGGGATCTGCCAGGGCACCGGGGGATCTGCCAGGGCACCAAGGGATCTGCCAGGGCACCGGGGGATCTGCCAGGGCACCGAGGGATCTGCCAGGGCACCGGGGGATCTGCCAGGGCACCGGGGGATCTGCCAGGGCACCGTGCCGCGGGCCCGGACCACAGCACAGCTCTCAGTTCTTGAGAACTCGGGAGAGTTCCCTGACCCCGTGACTTCCTCGTTGCCGTCCCTTTGGTGACCCTGCCCCCACCCCTGGGGTTGGCCGTCAGATCTTAAGACAACAAGGGCTTGCGAGACTAGCTCTTTGTTCAGGAGACAACAGATAGCAGGATGTGGGGGAACCCGGCTGCCAGTGGAAGTGGCCTGGGGACGTGGCCCGGGTGGGACACGGGGGAGGCCAGCGGGCGGCAGGAAGGAGACAGTGGGGCCACGGCCACCTGCCCCACTGTGGGAGTCCCTCCTCACCGGGAGCCCCCGTCCCAAGGTCCTGTGTGTGGCTTACAAGACCCTGTTCAGAGAAGTCTTCCTCTTGTGTGGAGAGGGAGTCCTGGGGGACCCCCAGCAGCAGCAGCTCCCCCCAGAAGCCACCTGCACCCTGCCCGCTGGCTAGAGGCGTGGGTGCCCTCAGCCCGCGCAGGTGGACGCCCGGGGCTCCAGACAACCTGCCGGGAAGGACGGCAGCTCTCTGCGTGTCTCCCCGAAACGTCTGAACACGTGTGTTCACAGAGACACACGCACCCTGTGCTGGTGGCAGCATGACTCGCGGTGGCCGAGACGTGGGACAACCCTCGTGACCTTCGGTGGAGGACGGATGAAGGAGCTTGGTCCAGGCACACCCTGAGCCCTGCTCCCCGTAGGAAAGGTGAAGTTCGGCCATTTGCGACAACGGGGACCTGAGAATGTCACGCCGAGTGAAGTCAGTCAGTCAGAGAAAGCGAAACCGTACGATTTCACTCACATGCGGGACATGAAACAAACTCAGAGACACAGACCACAGGGTGGTGGTCCCAGAGGGAGGGTGGGGTGGCAAAGGGTCCAGGGGTCAAACACATGGGACGGAAGAAGATTGGATTTGGGGTGGTGGCCGCATAATGCAATAGACCATGGGTCACAGAAATGTACACTTGAAACCTCCATGATCTTATTAAACAGTGTCCCCCGAATACATTTAATTTTTTAAAAAGAACGACAGGAAGACAAGCCCATTAAAGCCCCGAGACGTGGTCCCCAGGACGCATTTCTGAAGGACCTTCCCAGGCAAGTGGAGTCCCGACCACCTGCTCCTGCCGACTTCCAGGAGGTAGAACAAGGCCCTTGACCACGGCCTTCACATGGCCCTACGAGGGTCTCCTACGACGTTCTTTTCTTTAATCCTCACCCGAGGAGATTTTTACATTTATCTTCAGACAGAGTGGGAGGGAGAGAGAGAGAAACATCCATGTGAGAGGGACACATCAACTGGTCGCCACCCGCACGACCCCAACCGGGGCCGGGGACGAACCGCAACCGAGGTACGTGCCCTTGGCTGGAATCGAACCCGGGACCCTTTGGTCTGCAGGCTGACGCTCTAACCGCTGAGCCAAACAGACCAGGACGACTTTTTTTTTAAAGCAGAACTTTCCTAAATTTAAATTCACGGGAAGCCCCGAAATATATAACAGGGCAGCGGCGGCTCCTGAGTGTGGTCAGAGCGTCCTCCCCACCCCCACCACCTCTCCTGGCGCAGTTGTGGGCAGAGTCGGGGTTCCCTGAGAGAGGCAGGGAACTGGGGGTCCAGCAGGGCTCCTGGGGTTTCCAGGGGCTCTGCCCTAATGCCCAGCTGGGGTCCCAGGCAGACTCCCCAGAACAAGCAACTGCCTTCAGCATAGTTCACCTGAGCCCCTTTCTCAGCGGTGGCTCCACCAACAAGCACCTCGCCTGCCACCTGGGAGGCTGGAAGCCACACAGAGCCCCCCACCTCTGCGGGGTCTCTGACTTCTGAGCCTGGGCACCCCGTGGCCTGGGGCAGACCAGGGGTGCTGAGCCGAGGGGTGAGAAAGGCGGGGAGCCTCGGTGAGGAGCTGGGCCTCAGAAGTCTGTGACCGCCCCCTCTGCAGGTCTCAGGCTGACCCCCCAAATCTACTTGGCCCCAGCTAGGGCTGCACCCTAACCACCAGCCGCCCCTGGGGCGCTGTGCGTGGTGCTCACAGGGTTACTCTGCAGTCCACGGACCCCCACCCGCCACGACACGAGGCCGCAGCTGAGTCTGGTCTGTGTCCTGGGCCTCGGGGATCAGAGTGCCCACGGCAGAGCGGGTGCTGTTGGCTGCTGGAGGGGATTATGAAGGGCGACCCCGCCCCTGCTGCCCAGGTACCAACATGCGGCCCTGAGCTGGGACTCGGGTCCAGAAGGGGAAGGGACGTGCAGGCCCAGACCGGTGTCCAGGCAGCCCTGTCCCCAGGCTTTGCCCCCTCGAAGGATGGCGAGCCCTCCCATGGCTTCCAGGACCCCAAACAACTGTGCCACGGCCCCTCCCCTGAGCTCACTCCACTGACAGTCCGGCCTCAGGGCCTTTGCACTGGCTGTCTCCTCTGCGAGGAAGGATTTCCCCAGAAACTGGCCTCAGGGCCTTTGCACTGGCTGTCTCCTCTGCGAGGAAGGATTTCCCCAGAAACCTGCAGGTTCCCTCCCTGCCCTCCTTCAGATGTCTTCTGACACATCATCTCTGCGCAGCCTTTCCTGACCACCCTCCCCGCCCTCGCTGCCCCCCCCACCGTGATTCCCACCATCTGGCCTCGCAGCTGTCGCCCCCACACAGTGCAAGCCCTTCGAGGCAGGGATTTGCCCTGTTTCGTTTTCTGCTGTACCCTGGAACCTAAACAATGCTGAGCGTGTAGGTGCTCAGGAAATATCTACTTGACAGAGTGTGGGCGGACCTGGAAGAAGACCCGGGCTCTTCACACCACAGCCCTGCGCTACGGGGTGCGGGCAGCATGCTGAGGAGGGTGCCCCCGCCCTCCTGCACCCCAGCCTCAGACGCCCAGTGCCCAGGGGCCTTTCTCCTCCCCCGACGGCACCATGGGAGCAGTGCACACCCAGCTCCCCCACTGAGGCACAGGAGGTCCCTGGAGGCGGCTCGCGGCCTCTCCGGGGGTACTGTCACCGCGGGGGGGCCCTGAGAGCCAAGGGCCCGCCAGAGGGAAGGAAGCCTGGGGTGGGGTGGCCACAGCTGTTCCAGCGCGGCCTCGTGGGGGACAGCAGCATGATGGAGCGTTAGCCGTTTCAAGTTCACTGCACCCTGGGACGATGGGTTCTGGGAA